TATATAGGAAAAATCAGTTTGTTTGATTTAGCCGAAGCCAAATTTAATATCAAGCATCTGAAGAAAATGTTTGATCGAGATGTTAATATAGAACAAGTATCTGTGTAGTGTTGTGTATTAAACAGATAGTTGTGTGGGGGGAAAAAACAGAGAGTAAAACAGAGAGATTACCAAAATATTACATTGCATCATTTATATAGACAAAATAACTTCAATAGTTTGTCCATCATAAAATGAGAAAATAAAATTAAGGAATTGAACCAGAATAACTAAATAACTCAACACTTAACTGTGCAAAAACCTGTTTTTAATTGAGTAAACCAAGAGAGTGACCTTCGACTAAGGTGTTTTATGGGTCTTGCCAGGTTGGCTGGCCATGTGTGAAGACAGAGAGCCAGTTTTCTGTTTGGCAGGTTGGCGTTCAGATAATACCATGTTAGAGATCTGTAAATGTATGTTCTTGGCTACTCAACATTCATTCACGTTCTTGTGTAATTCAAGATTCGTTGGTGAACTTCTCAACAGTACAGAGAGTAAAACAGAGAGATTACCAAAATATTACATTGCATCATTTATATAGACAAAATAACTTCAATAGTTTGGCCATCATAAAATGAGAAAATAAAATTAAGGAATTGAACCAGAATAACTAAATAACTCAACACTTAACTGTGCAAAAACCTGTTTTTAATTGAGTAAACCAAGAGAGTGACCTTCGACTAAGGTGTTTTATGGGTCTTGCCAGGTTGGCTGGCCAAGTGTGAAGACAGAGAGCCAGTTTTCTGTTTGGCAGGTTGGCGTTCAGATAATACCATGTTAGAGATCTGTAAATGTCTGTTCTTGGCTACTCAACATTCATTCACGTTCTTGTGTAATTCAAGATTCGTTGGTGAACTTCTTCTATGTATATGTTTATAATTTTTTTAATATTTTGTAATGTTTATATATACTTAAATGTACAGTGTTAAACATACATATATTTCATTTCTGAAATATGTCCTGGGCTTCCTTGTACCCAGCGCAATTCAAAGGCACGGAAGAGTTCAATATAATAAACGAGTGGCCCAAAGTGACTATGAGTAAAATTGATAAGCATATTTACAAAAGAGCTTTTGCAGTTGACATATCATTCTCTCATTTGAATCATTAATGAGAATAGAGCGGAATTTTGAATATTTAATGCGCCGAAATCTATATTCTTCTTCATTTTCATCTCACTATGTGTGACGTCATTTGAAGACGCGAACTGACCACATGGAAAACGGAGAAGGATGTTACAGACAGACGAGACACAAATAACGTGATGCATATATTTTCTTATATATTTATTATGATTTCTATATATCTTTATTTATTAATATATACATTAAAATATATACTAGAGCATTACTATAATAACAAATATATAATTGTTACATTTTCTGTAATCATGCACAGGCCAGGCTATTTTTCCAGAAACACGCTGTTGTTGTTGTTTTGTTTTGTGTGTGTGTGTGTGTCCCCACACTTAGAAATGTTATCCAAAATCGTCCTCTGTTGAATCTCTATTAGTAATACGTTTGCGTAGATTAAAACGATTTGTCAACATGCCATTACGCATCACTGCTGGCTGTGGCAACATTTAGCTCCCTGCAACCACTGTATCATGATCCATTTGTCCTAAAGGTCCAGAGAGACAGTAGCTCAAGAATGTAGACGTGACTTGGTGTCATAAAAGCATTCCACAAGAAATTGTGATTTTGAAAGCCACTGTGTTTTTATGAGCAATACACACGTATAATATCCACAGGCCGAGATCATGATGTTGGTTCTACTGTGCGCCTGAGTTCAATGCAACATCATGGTCAAATAAAAATGAATTATTGTGCTGGTTTAAAAGATTGTCTAGTGTTACTCCTCAATTTTCAGATGGGTCGAGGGGTAAAGCTAGTGGAGTGTTTAAAGGATTTCCGATATTAATTCAAGCACAGTGCAGAGATGATAGACATCAGATTTTTTTCATTTTAAAAAACATTCATTAGAAAAACATTTAAATATAAAGATCTAATAATGGCAATAAAAAATAATCATCTAGACTAAAACAAAAACATCATTTTGGAATAAAATCCATTTGGCTCTAAAAGCAAAAGGTATTATAAAATAATTGTAAAAAATATCAAATATACAGGCCTATTAAAACATATTTCTGTAGCTATATACAGAGTTATTATATGCCATTATATTACTGTATTTAAACGTAAATATTAAATTGCAATAGTAAAATTAATAGCTTGTTGTATTTCTTATTTGTAAGTTGTTTAGTATAAAAGCTTCTCCTAAATGAATAAATGTAAAAGATCGCAATACATTAAAATATTATTTCTTTAAGAAACGACACGGAGTCAAAAATATTTCAGTAGAAATGGGGGCCTGACAAAATAGGAAGACTCTTACTTTTCTATTAAAAAAAATAACAGTGCAAGTACTAGGCTACATGTAAGTAATTTCAATACAAAAATACCGTAGGAGTTATTATTATGTGCAATATTATTATTATTATTATTTTTTTTTTTTTGTAAGTTTGTTTGGCGAAATTCTATATGAAATGTATTCTGCTATTAATGTAACTGCTGCTGTTTTTACATCGTCTGCATTTTTTATGCAGCTATCGTCTTAATTTAGAAAATCGCTGCGACATCTGCTGCAATTTACGTTTAATCAGCAATTTAAAAATCTTTATGTAAAAAACGTTCCGAGCTACTGAGACAATTTTCTCATTGTTAGCAGATAACATTGACCCCAAACGTCAGTAACACATTAATCGTCCGTCTTCGTTTATGTTGGTCATAATTATTGCCTTTTTTTTCAACATAAGCAAACCGGCGCAGCCTTACTTTTGGCAATGCTGTAAATATTTTCAAGTCTTACCGGTCAGTCGATCTTTCGCAAATCTTCTGCTGCTCTCCATCCAAGGGAACGAGAAGCTGGCGGGGCTGCCCATGCTGTGTACCGTGGGCATGGTGTGTATCCCCGCCGCGATGCCCGGTGGATGGCCAGTTGTCGACGGGTGAGGCGCGGGTGGCATGGGTCTGTGGGCCGGGACGCGGATGACACCGCCTGGGTTCCCTGAGTTCACATTAACGTTCATATTCATGTTCACATTCATGTTCATGTTTACGTTGTAGGAACCTGCCAGTCCCGCCGCCATCGAACAGGCCGGATTGTACACGCTGTTGTAGCCGTTGGCATAGACGTTCGGCACGAGCGCGTAGTCCGGGTCGCCGGTTCGGCTCGGCAGCATGCAACTACTCGGCTGGTCAGAGCCATTGAGAATCTGATCTATTCCAAAACTGATGGGTTCGTGCTGCTGGTGGGTCTGGTTCACCTCTTCGATCCCCGTGTGCTCCATCGTCGCGGTTCTTTCTGTTACGCACAGCTTGGAAGGTTGCGATGTTTAATTCCTAAAACTTCAACGCAACACGACTTATTCCCAAAGGTACAGAATTGCTTTTTAAAATACAAATATTCTTCATTGAAGTGCTCAGAGCCCATGCAATTTTAAATCGCTTCCATTTGATGTACAAAAACAGTGAAGAACAGAAATCACATGGACTCCTTCACGATTAATTTAGCATTATCCAACACTTTCTTGCATTGCGTCTGGCTCTTTTTCAGTTCCATGATGATGCCTAAAAAAGCAACTCGACAGTAGAAAGGGCTCCGCGCGCACTGTTAAATCCCGAAGTGGTGAGTTGCCAAGTTGTAGCAAACAAAACTGACGCGTTTCTGGAGTGGTGCTGTACCTCAGAAAGGCGCATGGCCCAGACTTGAGCTCATCACTGTTATCTAAAGTGAAGTGTTAACTGTCCGATACGTGCATATTAATTGTCGTGAGCTGAAAATGTCCTGTTCACGCTCCTCTTGGAGTGATTTCGAGCAGGTGAGACAAACCCCTTCTGCCCAAACTCTGTCACGCGCCTCTCCATTGGCTCTTGCGCACTTCTGTAGAGACAATGCATCGCGCCCGCACCCTCTCTTAAAGAACCCGCTTCTGTTTTTCACCAGGGCTGTAGTGTTGTAGCTCACGCTGAAATATAAAATGTTTCATGTTCCTAGAAAACAGAGCAGTCTAGTGGAATTATTAAAGCATGTTGACAAGTAATTTGGAATAATATTTTATTAGTAGTAGTATTTTTTTATTATTATATTTTTTTTTTTGAAGAATTAACAGTGCATTTTTTTTTCGTGTTTTAAAAACTATTTAAAAATATTTTGGAGAAGAAAAGAAAAACATTTGTATGCCAAATCAAAATCATTGTGGTGTAACCAACTTGCAGGAGGCCATTTTGTTGTCATGTGACAAGAAAAACAACTGGCAAGACTGTGAGTCAAGGTCAGTTTTATCACATGCAATATCACATTTTGACCTTTTTATGAAAAGCCGTATTGACTTAGAAAACGTGTTGATACATTTATTTAATATAAAAAAATTTAAATTGTATTTATTAATTTTATATTCAGTTTAGTACATTTACGTTTTATTTTATTATGTTTTACTTGATGCTATACGCTACTTTTTGTACTCTATAATTAATTTTACAGCATAATTGTATTTATTTAGTTATTTTTTTAGTAATTACATCCACACTTTTATTGAATATGGTATGGGGACAGCTGACCTGACAGTTCACCTTCTTACATTGACCTTTGTAACAAGGTGAATTGTCAGGTTAAAATACACTAAATTTGAGCAGGAATACTATTGGCATTGGGTTGTAATAATAATAAGCAGGCTTCATTTCTTTAATTGTGTGAAAGATAACACATCAAAATAACTTGTAATCCACAGGGTTGATGCTGTTAATTATCCCCTGGAATAAAGGCCACAATGTTTACATCAATTCAGAAAAAAAGCTCTTCAGGTTTTGTCAGGGGTACAGAAACATGCAGCTTTACGTACACATGGCAATGCGTTTGCTTAATCAAATGAAACTGAATTTCATTGAAGTGCACTAGCCTTTGGCTGCGTGAAATAAAGGGTGAAGCCAGAGAAGCATCAGTTGCCTTCAGTGATGCAGAAGCCAGTGTGATTGGCGCAAATAATTTAACCTTTTTTCGCCCGAAGCTACAGTGGAAGATTCTCCGCTTTCAATTCAATAAAAATGAAAAATGGCGCATAATAAAACCTGAAAGCAAGGGAAACGAATTTAATATATCATCGTTTTATTACGTACTTATTTCAGCTTTCGGACGAATAAAAATATTTCTCCGCAGCACAAAGTGGCTAGAGGGAAGCATAAAAATCAATTTTCTGAATACAGAGCTGTATCAATAATAAGCGCTCTTGTGTGTGTCTCAATAGCAGGAAAACATGTTGTTGGTTTTCAATGATATCGAATAAGCAAGCCGGAGTCGTGGCTATTTAACTGCACGAGGTCGTGTTGGGCAACAGCAACATCTCATAGTTAGGCTATAGCCTAGGCCTATCAAAATGTGGGTGATTTTCTTCACCATGAAAAAAGATGATCATATAGACTTGCATTGTAGCTATTTCTACTCCTCGACTAAAGATGTTTTTCAGAAATTATGATTGGATTTCGTCGCTTTGGCAAAGTGATGCTGGTGCTCAGACGGAAGCATCAACGTGCAGCTTTAGAGCATCTGAGCTCATAACGATCAGACACGACTGAGTCTGTCTTCATCACGAGGCAGTTAAGGAATTAAGAACGAGCTCAATCATAATTAGCCTAACAGTCAGGATTAACTATTATTCCCTGGTTTCATTTCCATGGTTTCGCTCTAATGCCATTTTGTGTTCTATATACACATATGCAATTGTAGATCTCATTTCTTGCACATTCGTATTCCTCCAGCAGTTATTTTCCCTAAGACTGCTTTATTTTAACCACAGTTGTTATCGGACTAATTGAACTGTGCTGCAAATATTTTAATTGCGTTTCTCTCTTGCTGTTATTGAGTTGAATTCAATTCCAGAAGCAAACGGTAGCCTACCCCGCGTTCTCGAGTAGTTTTCGTCAGCAGTGAATGTTAAATAAAATTACATTTTCGCACGGAAGCAAAATAGTATCTAATGGTTAGCCTACTAATTGGTTTAAGTTGTAATTATCTTTAAAACTAAGAAGCGCTCGAATGATTGAACCTGACAAACCGCGCCTACCCAACTCTTGTTTCATTTCATTAGGTGCAATGTAGTGTTTATTCTAAAATCCATCCAATTAATGTCCTGTTAAAACATTGCAGTGTAGAAGATATCAAGACTGAAATCGCTATTTTCAGATGAGAAAATCTGAAATGCATGCCGGGATATGTTGAAAGTGAACTTTTAAGAATCACTGTCAGTGAGTTTCTGTTGTTAACTTATTTATTTGTTTGTTTGTTTTATTTCATTTTATTTTTTCATATATTGTGATTTTGAAATAATAACTAGGATAATTATGTAGTAGCTATTGATATGTATAGGCTATAGCTGCGGTTGCCATATGGTTACCTCTGCACACTCCGGCTAACATGTCATCTAACTTTAGTAGATAGCCTGCCCTGCTGCAATGATGTTTGATAACGCCTGTATCTAAAACTAGCCACTTGCTTTTTTTTTTATTTTTTAGTTGGTGCCTAATACGGCCTAAACCGTGGTCTCCGGGTTGAACGCCAAATAGCGCTTATAGCTGGTTGCCCGCAGGCGATGTCTTGGCAGGGCTGTTGAGTGTATGCAGGGTCATTGATGAATCGGAATCTCCAGGCGGTGCTGATAATAAAGTATGAAGACAAAGCGAAGACAAAAATCATTTGTCACAGTTCGCCTTTCAACATATTCGGTGACCCGCCGCCCGCCGCCCTCCCGGGTGTAACCTGTTTCAGTGCGCTTTTGGAGATTTGCAAACAACTGCGATAGTGTTTGCTCAATATGGTGCCACAGGGATTGGAAGGCGATATCAAGCAGCACAGCTCGTGACAAATGGCGATTACAACGCTACATAAAGAATGAGATGAGTCAGTAGCAAAGTAGCTACTCACTGCCGCTTTTTTGCCGGTTACTTACACGAGCTGTCAATCTATGCAAATTGATTGTCGATATATATATATTTAGATTTTAAAAGAGAAATAATCAAACAAAAACAACGTGTCAAACAGCCATTTAAATGTATTGCCCGAACACCTGCCGGCGGTGTTCAATATGAACCCTGCACGTGGGTTTGAAAGGAAAATCCCACCCATCACAGCTGCATCCATCTCTAGATTATGAGCATTGACTGCGTTGTGCATCTGTTGTTCACTTCAAATGCAAGACGATCTTTTACACTACTGTTATTTTGTTTTTGTCATTTTAATAAACATATGTAAATAAAATAATTTTATACTTGTAATTTATTATGAATATAATTTATAAAAAAAAAATTGTTATTAATATTATTATTTGTATTTTATAAATCATTTGTGTTTATAATTATTATACACTTTATTTGTAATTATAATGTGTTGTTATTATTGCTAGTGTTATCATCACTACTATTAATAAATAGTATTATATTATTAAATACATGCATTTTATAGTATGAAATTAAAATTATATTAAAATATAAATTATAAAAAAGTATGCTATTTGCATTATTGTTAGGCCTATAATAAAATAATACAAATAAGAATTATTATTATTATTACTGTTATTAATAAATATAATTTATATATGATTGTATTTATAATGTATTATAATATAATTTAGAAATTGGAAATGCATTATTATTATTATTATTCGATTTCTTTTTATGAAATGCAATGTTCTTAATCTAATTATGTTACAAGCTGGAAATGGTTGAGAATTCGGCTGGTGTCTTTCAACAGAGAAATGGCGGAACAGCTCTGATCCCAGCGCCTCTTAGTGTCAGTACATCCTTTTACCTTCAGCATTTCCTCATGTGCATCTTGGCCTTGTGCCCCTCAAATGCATGTGTGTGTGCGCGTGTGAGTGTGTCTGCTTATGTGTATGTGCTCGCCGATGTGCCTGTCAAAGGGGCATTCGCACCCATTGCACCATTCTCCATCCCTCCCATGACTGTTGTGCTTTCTGCTGTAATTAGGTTGAATTCAGAGCAGATTGAATTACGTTATTCTGCATCTCGAGCTGCAGTCCTTGACTTTCTCTCTCCCCCGGGAGAACCTGGCGCCTCCTTGCCCGATCAGGCGGCTTCAACTGGACAGACCGCCAAATACGCTCAGGAGCGCACCGGGATCTCCGATGCGTCATCTGGTAATGTGGACTAAATGAGAGGTGTGAGGGCAGGGGAGACGGGATAACATCGTAAGGTCTTGTGTGACCTGAAACAGATGAAGTGGTGGAATAATGAATTGTTTTATTCGCTTTGTCGATATGAATTTTGTGCAAAAGGGCGTTGAGGGAAGAGATGGTAAAGAAAGGATCACTTTGTTTCGTTTTTGGATGTAGCCAGTTTATTTCGAGCTGTAGTTTTCACGTCTTGTTGGCTATTATTATTATTATTAGGCTATTATTATTGCCGATTTAATTAGATAAATAAGAGAAAATATAGGCCTACTTAATATTAAAACGGAATTCTGTTACTGCTGTCTTTTTATTTTTATTTATTTATTATATTTTTGCTGTATTTTGAATAGCCTAAATGTATTTACTTATTTATTTATTTGAATCCACTTAGGCTAAATCAAGCTTTTCCTTGTTTTCGATCAATTATAACGACTTTAGGCAAGATACATTTGCAAGTGTTTATAAATAAAAAAAAACGACTGAACTTTTTTCACTTTTGTAATTATTTTGTATTTCCTCACAGCAGTTCAGGACATTTCTGGCAGTAAATGTGTTGGACAGATCGTGTAAACAAATGAAAACGTGACTGACTAAAATATGTATTTGTGTAATTATTTGTGTTTATATTTTGGTTTATTAATTAAACTAATTCTGAACTGTC